AGAAAGGCCAAACCTACCCTGCGGCTTGTACCGAAACACCGGCAGACTCGCTAATTTGATTTTCTTTTCTTTCTTGGGATTTGAACTAGATGGAAAATTAGTGACTTTATAATGGGAAGGTAAGCAAGAACATGCACTAGCCTGAAGATACACCGCCTCCCTGCCGGCGGCTCCTAGGGCTCGTGAGGAGTCTGGAGGAGTTGCAGGCTCCAGTCTCGTTGAGGTCCGCGGCACCAGCGGGACCTGGCTCTTTCTGGGTTGAGGTAATTTCCGGGGCTGAGATCCTAACTTTTCCTTACTCCGACGTGCAGCTGGAATAAACATCCCGGGTTACTTGGGTGATCTCTGTCCCCGCCACAAGGGGCCTAAAGCCGGGGAGGCGCCTCCCCTCCGAGAGAGCTCAGCAGCGGAGGAGGGAATCCAGTGGCCGCGGGCGCCGCAGTCCGCGGGGTCGAGCGGCAGGGAGTGAGCGTTCCATGCGAGGCGCGATTTGGCGCGGCCGAGGGGCTCTCTCGGGGCCAGAGCCCAGAGGCAGCCTCGAAGAAGGAAAGGGGTAACCCTCCCAGTGCCCCGAAGGCGACTTCCCAGCGGCAGAGCACTCCCGGAGGACCAGTCTCAGCACACACGATGAAGGGAGACACCACACCGACAGCGTAAGGCGGCCTCACGGAGTGCCGCGGGGGCCTCTGGGAAGCGGCGTCCAGTGACGCGACACGCCGCGCGGAGGGTTCTGGGACTTGTAGTTCGACCTTGTTTTCGGGCCAGCGCGTCTTGGTGCCGCGGGCTCCTAGATGCCTCAGTCCCCGGCCTGGGTTCTTCAGTGTCTGGCGTGAGCTGGAGCCTGGGGTCGAGGAGGGCTGAGCGCGGGCCCTTCTAAACCTGAGTGGCTAGAGGGAGGGCGGCAGGGAGGCCCCCGGGTAGGCGCCAGGCGATCCGGCGAGGGTCGCGCGCGTCCCCGGNGGCGCCAGGCGGTCCGGCGAGGGTCGCGCGCGTCCCCGGGCCTCCGGGTGGACAGAGCGGTGGACCCCGGTTCCCGCGGCGGGGTCCTCCTGCACGGCCGAGGGAAGGAGTCGCCATTGAGCCTGGGGGCAGAGGTGAGAATTTCCGAGGAATGCGGCGCGGTGTCTGCTGGAGAGAGAAAAGGCGAAAGGCTGCCCACCGGCTGGGGCCAGCTCGGGAATGGGCAGCAGACGCCTTCCCTGGGAGAGCCTGGTCCTGGAGGGAGAGCAGCTACCTCCTGCATTGCCCGCAGGCCTGTGGGGTGGCGCATGCCTGCCTTGCCCCCCAAACCAACAGAGCTGACAATTTGACTTTCAATAACGACATCCTCTTGTCCTCACAGGATCCCCATAAGGTTGTAGGAAGGAGACTATTAGACCCATTTGGCGGATGGGGAAAGTGAGAATTTGAGCAGTCACAGGATTTGTCAAGAATCCTGGATATTTCCCCAAGACCCATTGCTTTTCTGCGAAAGCCAGTATGGTATCAGTGTTCAAAAAGAATTTAGTTTTCCTTCATCCTGGAATAGAACAGGAATGGATCTTTTAAGTTAAGTGAGACGCGGATTGACACAGATTCTTTGATTATTATTTTGACTATCACTCAACAGATGACAGAAAGAAATATGTGTTTAACTTATGTGTCCCAGTTCTCATAGTGGAGTTCTGTTGGAGTTTAAGGGAAGAGGAGGGTAGGAGGAACCTGCGGCAGGCCATGGCCATGGCTGTCTTGATTCAGGAACCTTGTGGGATTGTCCCTTGGTTCCCTGGGTTGGTTCTTCTTAGGTGACAAGTAGATGTGTACAGCAGTTTCTGCGAGTTCACCGCAAGGCAAGAGTAGTCATATAGCTCCTGTCTCCACTTCTAGAGTCACTTTCCAAGGGTTCAGACCTTCCCCATGCTGGAAACCCAGGAGAAAATGGCATGCTGACCTCTGCATCCCAGGTGGGTCTTGATTACTTTTTTTTGTTTTCCTTCTGTTCTCAGAGCATGGATATGGTTTCTTCCATTGTTAAGGAATTGCTCAGCCGGGAGTCCTAGATCACTTTGTTTACCCAGTAATGAGTGATGATGAGTGATGAACTTCTTGATAAATGTTCCTTGCTGTGTGGAACTTTTCCTCCTGGCATTACTTCTTCCCTGCCCACTTAGTGCTTGATGCACATTTAGTAGCTCTGCAGTACTGTAATTGGCCTCATGGTGAGAGACAAGGTAATAAAAGCCAGTAGCTCCTATCCCATGAAGTTTACCGAGGAGGTAAGATGTAGATAAGTAAAATACTTCAACAGCAAGAAGAAATATATATATTTTTAAATGCAGGAATGACTGGTACAGACAAGTCAGAATAGGCCACAGAAGAGGTTTTCCATCCTCTAGAGTATTTGAGGAAAAAGTACTGGGGTAAAAGCTATACTCTGAAAAACAAGAGGGAGTAGGGAATTGGAGAATAGAATACAGGAATGTTCCAAGAGAGAGAACAGCTTTGGCAAAGAAAAGTCTCCAAGTGATGAGAGAGTTGAAGGCCTTCAAAGGGTGTGTGTGTCACTGTGGAGTGAGTTGGAGTGTGGTGAGGGAAGCTGGGGTGTGTTGCAGCTGGACCACAGGAAAATCTACACTGGGTCTTAAAGGCCCCAGTACAGTTTTAGAGGCCCAACAAGATGAAAACATGCCACAACTGATTGGAGAGAGAATACTGGTCAAAATGCTTCTGTAGGGCTGGCCTAGGACACAGAGAACGGCAGACCCTGTGGTAAAGGCACTGGAACTACTTTTTAGCTTCAGTCCCAGCCTCGTAGCACACAGGTGCTGAAGATGAAGATTTGTGTAAAACCCTGGGAGAAAACACCAGTCCTGGTTCTGATCTGTGAATTTGTAGATTTCCTTCAGAGGAAGGCGGGAGAGAAAGTCAGTAGCATCTGCTGAACAGTTTCTGCTTAGTCTGCCCATGCCCCCAGCTCCGGCACACTTACACTGAACAGTAGCTCCATAAATGAATTTGCTTGCCGAGGTTTTCAGGGAACTGAAGTCTGAAAGGAACTGCCAGTTTGTCAGCTATTGTGAGCATTGTTTGTAAAGGGGGAAGGCTACAAATTATAGTTGCCCCTTGAACAACATGGTGTGCATGGCACAGGTACACTTCTATGCCAGTTTTTTTAAATGAGTACTGTAAATGTACTTTCCTATGATTTTCTTAATAAAATTTTCTTTTCTTTAGCTTACTTATTGTAAGAATACAGTATATAATACACGTAACATACAAAAAATGTGTTAATTGACTGTTTATGTTATTGATAAGGATAGGCTATTAGTAGTCAAATTTTGGGGGAGTCAGAAGTTGTATACAGATTTTCAACTGTGCAGGGTGGGAGGTCGGTGCCTCTAAACCCCATGTTATTCAAGGGTCAACTGTATTTTGCTTGTGTTAGTCACTCCTGAGGTGTTTGGCCTTAAGGGACCATAAACTAAAATAAAGAGAGTAGTGATTTCATACTTCAAGTATTAGAACAATGAATTAAATTATTTTGGGCAGAGGATTTTCAAAGTAGATAGTTCTTTTAACTTATTTCATTATGTGAATTGTTTGACCTGTTGTTCTTGAAGGGCTATATCATGAACGTTAGAATGCTGAATATAAACAGTTAACTGCTATACATATGTTCAGGGGGCTATGGCAACAGTGGTGGCTCAAAAAGGGGTAAGACTGGGTCATTTGCTAGCATCCCAGGGACTGGTCTATTTTAATGTGGCTCATTTAAGTTGAAGTTGTATAGAAATTTTTTTACAGAATTGGAAAAATGATTAGACATTTGTCTTATTAGCCGTTAGCAGACTCAGCTAGATTCAGGGTAGCATTACCTACCCTGCTCGCTTGCCCCACATTTTAGTAGACAGCCTAAACTTTGTGCCTATCATTTAGATCAAGGTTACGCTAGAGTAAACATTCCTGCAATGCTTTCAATGTTTGATACACTTTTTTTTTTTTAAGATAACAGACACACTTTTATTAAATAACTTTAACAACAATTACTTTAAAGGCCAGTTCTGAAAATGTACTCTTTCTGTGTGCCCCCACCTGCTTTGATAAATACAGAAGCTTGTTATAAAATTAACGCTGAAATCAACCTATTTTAAGTCTCTGAAATATGAACAACTCTCCCTCACACCACATCCAAAGTTAAAAAAAAAAAAAGATGGCCGTTTCATTCCCAGTTTTGACCAAATTCTTTCCCTAATTCTTATGTCCTCAAATATATCCTCTAAACCTCCAGCCAAAGACTTGGTTGTTGGAAAAACATTAGTTTGTAAAGTTCAATGCTTACATACTATCTTGAGGGCAAGGAGGCCTGCCCCTTCAACCTCAAGCTCAATGAAGGCAGTGGCCACCTTATTCTGCGTCCCTCGTACAGGACTTAGATCTTAACATTTAGGCTCGTTCTTGGTTTACAGGCAGGCAACTGGAGAGTGAACTTTACTTCCTCCCCTGTCCTCCTTGTGTTGACCTCCTTCCCTCTTGCCACCCAAGCTGGGCGGCCCAGAATTCATTTTGCCTTCCAAGCCTTTTCTCTCCCCCGCCTGGCTGGGTGGACCCCCTTTCTTCTTGCCTCCAGGACCCTGTTGGGCCCCCTTTCTCTTGCCCCTTTGGCTCATTTTTCTCTTCTTAGGCGCTTCCTCCTGGCCCTCCTCCCTCATTTGCTTATTGGTGGCCCTCGTCATGTCAGGCTGAGGCTTTTTGCTGTTCATGACTCACAGCATCTCCGACTGGCTCTTTTTCTCCCCTGCAAAGTCCCCCAAAAAGGGACTGAAACATCCTCTCCTTGCTGGAGTCCCGGGGCGCCTTCTCCTTGGGCAGGCGCTCCTGGAAGTGCCCCACAGAAGCAGTGGAGATCTTGGCCACTTGCAAGGTGTGGCCTGCCCCTCCTTACTCTGGTATCCAGTAGGGTGCATGCTGGCCGAGCTAGTTGGGGCATCTTATGCACGCGGGCTAAGTTACGCCCGCTACGGTCTTCTTGGGTAGGATGCTCTTGAGGAGCGTGCACTGCTGCCAGCCTGTAAGCTACTGTGGCCAGGGCACCGACTTCTCGCGTGGCAGGCAAGTGGGCTCTGGCAGCCACGCCACCAGTGCCGCCTCTCTGCACTCTGGGCAGCTGCCATAGCCAGTTGATGAGCAGCCACATGTTGTCCTGCACCAGAGCCCACAGTTTGGCCTCGAACGTGGGTCCCCGGTGCTGCAGGCCCATGGGGTGTTCCAGTTGGAGGCCAGCAGGTTATCCAGGTCGAACGCCAGCTCCAACTCCTCGTGCACCGTGATGTGCTGCAGCTTCTTGGCTTCATCCTGCCTTTGCCAGCAGCTTCTCTACCCTCTGGCCTTCCATGGCCCTGGCTGGACTCACTAGCTCCAGGAAGACAGTTCCTGTTTGATCCACTTCTGTTCTCCTCCCCACCTCTGTTCCCATGCACACTTTTATAGAACACACCATTTAAAAAGCCGTTTCTACTAATTCTTGTTCAAGTGTTCCTTTCTTCAGCTGTCTGACAAACACAGTGTTCCTGCTGTGTGCCAGGTACTAGGGCTGGCAAAACAGACCTGGCCTCTGCTCTCCAGGAGCTGACCATGAGTGGGACAGAGAGATGTTAATCAGAAAGTCTCCTCGATGTGCGCATGATCCGAGAGAAGGGAAGGAACATGTGCTACAACCTGGAGAGTCAGGGAAGGCTTCCCTGAGGCGATAACATCTGAGCTGAGATCTGAAGCATGAATGGGATGTAGAAAGCTGAAAGGATGTCCAAAGGGAGAGCACTCAGGAACAGGAAGCAGCGCGTGGACAGGGGCCAAAGGGAATGCTGCACACATTTCAAGCAGCTGAAAGGCGGCCACCAATTGTAGCACTGAGATTGCAGAAGGAGCAGTGTATGGTTGGGCAGAGGGTGGGTGGCGAGAGGGAGTCAGACCCATCAGGGCCTCTATGAGAAAAGGAAGAACACTTTGGGGACATTTATAATAATACTGCTTTACAAATAAGTCTATTTCTGTGATGTGTGTAGCAAACACCTTAATGTTAAATATATTTTAGACTGATTTTACTCCCAAAGGAAAATTAGATAAATATTTCATATTTCTTAAACCTCTTGTATTTTAAAACGACACCATAAGGAAAATAAGTCATTCATAATTATATTTTCTCCACTTTCCCATGTCTAAATAGTAAGAGTGTCTATAGTTCTATAACTTAATGTATTGATGCCTAAACTAATAACTTGGTACCTTCAGATTTCACGTCAAAGGTGCTTTCCTTCTTACCTGCAGGTTCCATGCAGTCCCCCCAATGCATGGAGGCGAGGAGCCAGTCTGTGGCTACAAATACAGCTGTCCCCCTAATCTGTAGTTTCAATTACCTGCAGTCACCTATGGTCCAAAAATATTAAATGGAAAATTCCAGAAATAAACAATTCATAGGTTTTAAATGGTGCACTGTTCTGAGCAGCATGATGAAGCCTCATGGTGTTCTGCGCCATCCTTCCCGGGAGGTGAATCGTCCCTTTGTCCAGCGGCTGCACACTGTTCACGTTACCGCCGTTAGTCACTCAGGAGCTGTCTCGGTTGTCAGATCTACTGTCAAAATATCGCAGTGCTTGTGTTCAAGTAACCCTTATTTTACTTAATAATGGCCCTAAAGTGTAAGAGTAGTGATGCTGGCAATTCAAATATGCCAACGACAAGCCATAAGTGCTTCTTTTAAGCGGAAAGGTATGAGTGTATAGGAAAAATAGTATTATAGAGTTTGGTACTGCCTTCAGTTTCAGGCATCTGCTGGGGATCTTGGAACATGTTCCCCACAGATAAGGGGGGACTGTTGTACACCAGAGAATCTTAGTGTCGGAAGGGATGTTAGAGGTCATTTTGTCTAACCTTCCTGTCCTTCCTGTCTTCTGTGCTGTCAGTTTGAGATCTTCCCAAAGGCCTCTGGAAGGAGGTCCCTTGGTGAGCACAGATGTGTTTGGTTTTTCAGGAGTCGCTCATGATCAGGGATATGGCCGAGGCTCTCACCCAGTGGGGACAGCTGAACCCTCCGCAGGGAGATGTCCCCGAGAAGCATAGGAATCTGGTCTTGCTGGGTAAGGATGGCTCCTCGTTCCCCTGTGAATTTACTCAGTGGTACCTTTGCTTCCTCAGTTCCTAGGAACTCAGAGGTTCTTAGGTAAAAGAGTCTTAATTCCTGAAAGGCCCAGGACATGTAATTTCTACTTTTTGATTCTGGATGTGGTTTTAACACCCCCTAGAGTTAGAAATGGACCCCTTTTTATTGTATTTGCCCAGGTGGTAATAACCTTCTTTTCTACTCTCTGACCAAGGATATTAAGATGAAGTTCTAGTGAAAACATCTCTTAAGAAATGGGTGCTTATACTCTTAATAGGGAGAGGAAAAGACAAGCGACTCAGTTGTTCCGAATTCAGATGGACCCCATATCAGCCTTCCTGCCTTCTGAGCGCTGGTGAAGGAGAAATCCACAACCCACCTCTCTCTTATACTGTCTTTTCTAATGACCAAAGAGCTAACCCTGGAGTTTTTTACCAGATTCCTTTTTCTTTCCCCATGAACAGGGCTTCCGATTTCCAAGCCTGACGTAATCTCTCAGTTGGAGTGTGGGGAGAAGCTGGAGAGAGAAGCCTCAAAAGCTACTAGTCCAGGTAAGTGAGTGTTGGAAATAGGGAACTTAAAACCCAGATGGTCAGTGGAAAGAGCATCTTTGAAAGGCTTGTGGAGGAGCCTTTCAGATTTTGCCAGACCGGTGGGAAAGTTGAAGTCCCTTTCTCCCATGCCACACTTACCCTCTGTGAATGATGATCTGTTATAAATTCATAATTTACATTTTAGAAAGTAAATACTTTCCACTCTTTTAAACCAATTCCCCCCCCCAATAAGGTGAAATGAAGTTAGCATTTTAATGTATGTTAATAATTTGCATGAGTACAAGGCTCTAAATCAGGCTTTTCCATGTATGTTATTTTATCTCTGAGTATAATGTGTTTTTTTTGTCTGACAGCAATGGCTATAAATTGATCTCTGAGTTTTCCCTGGCCGCCTTCTCTAAGCAGAGGCAGCATAGCATGTGCAGACTTTGGACCTAGTCTTCTTAGGTCCAAAGCCAATCTCAGCTACTCATTAGCTCTGTGACCTTTAACAAGTTAATTGTCCTCTCTGACTCAAATTCACCAACTATAAAATGGGGGCAATGATAACACTAACTCATAGGGTTGTTGTGAGGATCAAATGAAAAAAATCCAAGAGAAAATGCTTAGAACAGTAGATGGCTATATGCTAAGCAAATGATAGCTATTAAGTCCTGGTAACTTTTTTTGAAATATGTCATGAATTTGACCCTTGACCCTCTTGCTTCTGTCAGACTGAATTACTGTAATAGACTCCCAGCTGATTATACTTTTAAAATTTTAATCCTCACCGGAGGATGTTTTTTCCATTGCTTTTCAGAGAGAGTGGGAGGGAGGGAAGGAAGAGGGGAGAGAGAAAGAGAGAGAGAAACATCGATTCGAGAGAGACACATCAGCTGGTTGCCTCCAGCACGCACCCTGACGGGGGGGCAAGGAGCGAACCCGCAACCCAGGTATGTGCCCTTGACTGGGAATCCAACCCATGACCCTCAGTGAGTGTTGCAGTGCTCTAACCACTGAGCAACACTGGCCAGGGCTGATTATACTTTCTTTAGTCTAGTCTTGTCTAATTGAGGCAGCAGAATCCCACTGAATTCCCCACAGTGAGTTTCTTACTCTTTCAGTTCTGCATTTCTCTACCTTCTTTCAAGGCTTTGATAGTCTACCTGCCTAACCATTTTACCTTCTCTGTTCTCCAGCTTGAACCCTTAACATCGGACAGGCAAGTGTCTTACTCTCCTCCGTTAGCTTTGTTTTCTCCGTGCACACTTGGGGCTTTAATTCTTCCCATTCCCCTTAGCTGGAAGCCCATTTGACTTTAACCTATATCTATTTGTCCTTTAAAATCTCAGGCACCTCCCTAATTAGAATGTATAGTTGAGAACATTGGATCATGTTGATTTATTTTAAGTACCATCATGGTTGGAATGAATATTAAAGACTCTTTAAGCCTGGAAATATTTAAACATTTTTAGCAGTGAAGCTTTTTCCCCCCAAACTCTTACTAGAAAGCCTAGGACTTGGGACAGGTATCCTGACAGGTTGGGACAAATCTGAGCACATGGGGATTTGACCTTCCCTTCTCTACATATTATTCATTTGTTTGTTTTTTACTCATTGCAGTTTGTTGGATGTGGGACAGTCAGAGATGACCAGTTGCTTCTTAGTTACTGGTCTTTGTGATGATTTGAATTTGTAGATATTTTTTTAAATATGTTTTTATTGATTTTAGAGAGAGAGGAGGGGACAGGGAGAGAGAAACATGGATGTGAGAGAGAAACATTGATCGCATTCTCCAGCATGGCTCCTACTGGGGACTGAGCCCAAAACCCATGTATGTGCCCTGACCTGGAATCAAACTGGCGACCTTTTGGTGCATGAGACAACATTCACCCAACTGAGCCACACTGTCCAGGGTGAATGCTAGTTCCTAGAATATACATCTCATCTTGAGACAGTGGAACCAACAGAAATTTTTATGTGAGAGGGATAGTTTTGGAAGGTTAGTATGTTAGCATTGAGTGGGACATTTTGGAATGGGAAAAGATTAGCAGGAGGAGATCAGCTAATGATGGTCATTTTCAAGCGTGAAATGATAAGGTCATGGTGTGGTGCTGGCAGTGGGCAGTCTCTGGGATACCAACTTTCTCTGATCCCAGCCTAGTTTCCCAGACTCTGGTTTGTTTTTTTAAAACATGTCTATTGATTTAAGAGAGAAGGGAGAGGGAGTGAGAGAGAAACATCAGTGATGAGAGAGAGTCATTGATCAACTGCCTCCTGCACGCCCCCTACTGGGGATCGAGCCTGCAACCCAGGAACGTGCCCTGACCAGGAATTGAACCTCAATCTCCTGGACCGTAGGCCGATGCTCAACTGCTGAGCCACACCAGCCGGGATCCCAGACTCTCTTTTTTTATCACCTCTGCTAAGTCTTGTTCCATTATTGTTCCTCATTTCCTCCCCACTGGACAGAGGACTTGTGAGTGCCTACTCACCCTCCCTGTATTCAGCTGTACTTCTTTGCCCAGTCATTTTTCTTTTCTCATCTTCTCTCAACATTGCAAGGGTGTTTTTGAGAGCTTTCAAGTTTATGTGTTCCTTGTAGCATTTTTTTGTTTATTTTATTATTTTCCTACCACAGTAATTACTTTACTCTCAGTGTAGGAAATGACACATGTGCATTTTTGTTTCTGTTAGACTGGGAGACAAGACCAGAAGGCAAGGAGCTAACCCAAGAGCACGATGCTTCTGAAGAAGAGTCATCCCCTGGGGTGTTAATAGAAAGATTTCCCAAGGAAGGTGACAGTGGATGTGAGGGTTCATTAGAGAGTCAGCAGGAAAACCATGAGAAACATTTAATACAAGAGGTTGTCACTCAGAAGAAATCTGGGGAGAAAAGTTACCAGTGTGATGAATTTGGAAGAAATTTTGGTCGAAGGTCATTACTTGTTCAACAGCAAGAAGAGAGACTATGTAATTGTGATTCATTTAAAAAGAACCTAAAACAAAGTTCAGATCTAATGAGGCATAAGAGAATTTGTGCAGGGAAGAAACCCTGGAAGTGTAATGAGTGTGAGAAAGCCTTTAGTTACTACTCAGCTTTTGTCTTGCATCAGAGAATTCACACAGGAGAAAAGCCCTATGAGTGTAATGACTGTGGCAAAGCCTTTAGCCAGAGCATACACCTTACTCTACATCAGAGAATCCATACTGGAGAGAAGCCCTACAAATGTCACGAGTGTGGGAAAGCCTTTAGTCACCGATCAGCCCTTATTCGGCATCACATAATTCACACTGGAGAGAAACCCTATGAGTGCAATGAATGTGGGAAGGCCTTTAATCAGAGCTCATATCTCACTCAACATCAGCGAATTCACACCGGAGAGAAACCTTATGAGTGTAATGAATGTGGGAAGGCCTTCAGCCAAAGCACGTTTCTTACCCAGCATCAGGTTATTCACACTGGAGAGAAGCCCTATAAGTGTAACGAATGTGGGAAAGCTTTTAGTGATCGTTCAGGCCTCATCCAGCACCAGAGAACTCATACTGGGGAGAGGCCTTATGAGTGTAATGAGTGTGGGAAAGCCTTTGGCTACTGTTCAGCCCTGACTCAACACCAGAGAACTCACACGGGGGAGAAACCCTATAAATGCAGTGATTGTGCCAAAGCCTTCAGTGACCGCTCAGCCCTCATCCGTCATCAGAGAACACACACTGGAGAGAAACCTTACAAATGTAATGATTGTGGGAAAGCCTTCAGCCAGAGCTCATCTCTCACAAAGCACCAGAAAACTCACACTGGAGAAAAACCTTATAAGTGTAAGGATTGTGGAAAGGCCTTCAGCCAGAGTTCATCCCTTTCTCAACACCAGAAAACTCATGCTGGAGGGAAAACCAAGGAATTTGGAAAAGCCTTTTGTGAGCATTCAGCCTTTGGCTAGCAAAATAATTCATACTGGATAAGACTGTAAAATTGTTTCCTGGTGTGAGTAATCATCTGAGTATCTCAGTCAACAATTCTTGAGGGGAAAATTGTTGATTAGGAAAACTACTCAGATAATTATACCCAGGAAAAAATGAAGCTTGTGAGTTGGTCAGTCACAAAGTTTTCATGAGAGCAGCTTCCCCTGAAGCCAGAGACATTGGCCTGGCAGTTTGCTTCTGCACTTTGTGTCTTTGCTTATTGAGACATCTACTGAGAGTCATGTTAGGTACCAGGGTCAGACCTGTAGCCTAGAAATGGGGAGTACAGAGGGACCTGTGATGTTTTCAGTCTGTTTTAAGCTGTCTGAGTTACTTGACAATGTGCTTACGTATGCAGATTTACGTTCATTGTATGTAGTTTGTACTTTAGACTTTTTCATACCATAGTAAAATTTAGTTGTAGACCTGAACTGACACTGCATATTAGGTTGCAAAAATTTGAAAACACTTTAAAATACTTGCCTCTCACCATTTTACTTTTGGGTAGAGGCAGATCACATATATATATATATGTATATATATATATATATATATATATATATAT